AGAATCTGCCTCGACGACACTCGAGGACGGGAACACTCATCGGACGAGGGGGCTGTCGGGCCGCGGGGGCTTTACGCTTCCGGTTTACGGCACCGGCCCGTGTGTGTGCATTTCCGTCAGCGAGGATTAAGGGACACATCGGAGTGTTGTCGCATGGGATTGTCATTGTCACGCGTCAGTCGTCGTGACAGGTATTTACTCCGGATACATCTGTTGTTCAAGAGAGTCCGTGTGATAAGCGCCTTGGCGTTACCCTTCCGGTATCCCCCCCCCCTCCCCGCCCCGTCGACGATCTTATTCATGGAAATCAGAGCATCGAACCGATCGATCATTCCGATTTCCACGGCATTTGGCCATGTTACAAATATCGAACATGAACGCGCGCCGTGGCACATTTGCTGTTATTTATCGATAGCGAGCAGAAGTACGGATGATCAAACGAGCGGTGCGCGTACGGCGAAGAGTAACGAGAGGGAATGATGACTTATTAATTTGAAATGCTCTTCGCAAATGACCGGTTGCGAAACCAGGCACCGCGTATATGTTGTTAATTGCTATCGGGTGCTAATTGAAATTCGTTCCGGGAACGATTATTTCCACGATGACACACGGCGATTGCGCAAAAAGTATGGTTTTTCTCGTCAAGCTCATCAAGTTTTACGATTGCCTAAAATATAATTCTCGATCAGTTGTACAAATAAAAATAGAAAAAAAAGCGTTTTATACGACAGATAACTTTATGATTGAGTCTTTTATAATATAATAATGTCAACGTGTTTTTATCAGACTTTGCGTACCGTATACTACATTATCCACCTATCTCGCGCCGATTAAACTTTCCAAGAAACTGTCGTTAAAAAGAATTAAGTTCTCTCGCAGCGACGACACGCGTTTGCTTTCCTCTTGCCATATAAAAGAACCACTTTTGTCTCTCTTTCTCTCTCTCTCTCTCTCTCTCTCTCTCTACTTTCTTCAAAGAATGTAATCATCAGAATGGCGATTCACGATCCGATGAGCGAAAACGAACGGTCCTCGAGGGGGAAAGATAGAGGGAAGCAAAAAAGGGAAAAATAGAGAAAACTGAAAAAAAGTAAAACGGAACAAATTGTTAATTTGCATAGGTTGCCTTACAGCCGAATCTCCGGCGCTGGGAGAATTTTCGGCGCTGCGAGCGAGAGCCTCGGTGTGCTCTATTAATTGTCACTGGTCGCTAATTGAAGTTCGTACGATGCTCGAGAGCGGGGGGCGGTGCGCCGCGGTACATCCCCCGGACCGGACTTTTCGGTTGCGAATTCTCGCGTCTACGCGGAAACCGCATCGGAAACAGGCGTTATCATACGCGGCAACCGGCCGGCAGTACACACCGGGCGCCAGCTACATACTTCGTTACGCGATTGTCTGCGGCAAACTGCGCGTATTTACATCGGCGCGAATTACACGCGGCGCATACGGACACGTCCGACAAAGCTGCGGGAGACTGGCCGGGAGAAATCCCCTCGGCTTCGATCGTGCAAATCGCACGGTCCGCGCGCCCGAGAGCTTTGAGAAGTTATTCTCATCAACGTCTCCCCCTTCGCGTTCGCGTATATTGCCGCACAACATGTCTGAGTTAGCGGTGATTGAAATGCGCGCGCGCGCGCGCCTTTAATTCTTCAACTCCCACTGAACACGTACTGGCCGATGTTATATTAAGTAAGAGAGCACACACCCGCATTTATACAGAGAGGCATAATTTGTTTTTCTTACGCGGATAAACTTTGTATATCGAGGCCGTTCATTTAACAAATATGTATAATGAGGAATAGAAGCTTTAAAAAAATCCCTGGTAGAGAAAAACCGGACAAATCTCTTTAGCCGCTGAAATGAGTTTAACTAATTATATAATAAATGATCGAGTTTGAAGATTGATTGGTCGATTTCGCCTTTTGTTAATATTGATAATATTGCTGGATGATCGAGCGAAATACGTGATCTATTCTTATGTAATAAAGTTTAGATTAAAGTGAATACAATTATGATCGTTGCTAAAATCATCACAACGATAACTCTGGAGCCTGGAAGAGGCCCCGCCGGTTGGATATTCGCGATCGCAGGGAATATCGCATTTGCATTGTGGCAGATTATACCAAATTCATATGTATATATTGGTAGAGAGAAGGAAATTCATCAACGTTTCTCTTTGGTTTGAATGGTATGGTTGTACAAGCTAAGCTATGGTATGTGATTGCTCAGCGCAAGTATATTGGGTCTATTCATGAATCTATAGAATCGTATGATTGGCACGCCATGAATTCTACTTACTTTAATTTTGTATGTGAAAACGAGACTGGTTGATATTAATTAGATTCAACAAAAACACCATGGTGCGATGTACTTTATCGTTTAGAAAAGAAAGCACCTAATTGATAAAATTTAAATTCTGTAAAATGTGACTGATTTTCGATTTTCTAAGATGTGATTATTTATAAACTTTTTCAAAGTCCCAATTCTGGATGTTTACACATTCCTATAAAAATTTCTTACTTCGTTTAATTTCGTCTTATAACGATGTTATTTTATGTACTTTCCATCTCTCTCGCTCTATAGTGCGCGTTTTACTTTCAGTAAAGAGAGATAAATTTTCAGAAAAAATCGAATGCAGACACGAAAGTGTACTGTCTCTATTAAGCATTCTACATATTACATGCATTACATATGTGTATATTTCGTGCTCGGCGGGTTATATTTGTATGACGCGACCGATACTCAATAAAATGTATAGGCGCTCAGTTATTCTCAGTATTATTAATGCAAGGCAAAATAATGCACTTCCGGCGATCGGCGATCCGATCGAAACTATAAAACCGAGCTCGAGAGGGGCTGTCTGCATACTTCGCCGCTCTTTTACGACTTCATTAAGGCGCCGTTACGAGCTAGATACTGCCGAGCGAACAAAGTGTATGCTTATATAGCGCCCTTACGATAAACCGCGTCGATTTATGAACATCGCACGCGGTTTAACGGCCGTTACTAATAATTTTTCTCTTCGAGATGCGCCACTGTTTCATAAAGCAGATATGGCGGACTTTAGGATCGAATCAGGGATAACGATTTTGTAGATAGCATCGACGTGAGATTTTAATTTGTTGAGACCCAACTATCTAGCACAGATGTAATATCAGAAGTAGTACAAAGTTTAAGCATAACTTCGAGAAGCGCGGAGAATTTGTTTGTTACAAATAATTTTTTGGCAAAAATACATATTTTTTTCAATATTCATATCATATTGATATCAGCACTTGATCTTTTCTATCATACGCAAAACATTATTCCGTATTAATCTAATTAATAAGACATAGTGATCGTTTTTTTTTCACGCTCAAAAATTAATATAATTGCGAAATCTTAATTGCCACGTGGTTATTGTGTTGTTAAATTTATTATTTTGCCATCGTACAAAAAAGGAATCGATAAATTGAAATTTGCAGATCAATAATTGTTCATTTATCGTATTATTTCATGCGACATTCGTTGGATAAAAACAATGTAATTCAATTTACGTTAAATTTGGTCTCATCAATACCTTGTTTAAGAGGATTAAGGTTTACTGTAATAGCAGTGTCCTTAATCACGTAGAACATAGGTTCAAGTTTAACTATGTCGCTGCGATGCGTGATGCTTTCCCGGAGAAAGGTAAACGTCAGTACGTTTACAATGTAAACAATATGCATAAATGTTTATGATATAGGTACGTGAATTTGATAACGACAGAGGACTTGGCGGTAATGAGGGTGAAACATATCAAAATATTGATACTTCCGCAATGACAACTGAACCAGAGAAATCAGAAACTGTCTGCTCCATTTTCAAGCATCCACTTTCAGGATATTCGATCTCACTATTTCTGAACGAATCGATTGATATGACATAATCGTAAGTATAAAAGCGTCGTATGTTTAAAATTAAAATTACGTAAATTATTTCACGATAATTAGAAGCCGTTGAAAATCTTGATAGTTGTGGAAAACAGACGTGAAAACTTAATTACGAAACATAGTAGTGAGTGACGGTTGTTAAATAAAATTTCTCACCTGGAATAATAAGACCATCGCGAATATTTCGCGCACAAAGGTATAAAAAAAAATTTTTTTTTCACTGCATGTGTACTGAAAAAGCAAAACCTCAGCGGATATCGGTTGGAATACGCCAAAATTTAATGCTGATAAAAGCGATATTTCTAGTTGGACCAGATATGCATTTCGACGCTTCATTTCAAACGTGAGCTCGATGATATTTCGCATTTCGTTATATAAGTCTTCTTTTTGCGCCTCCGCATTTTTTCTCCTTCTATCTCTCTCTCTCTGTCTCTCTTTTTATAACAATACACGCAAGATCGTCAGCCGTGTATGGCGATGTACTATGCAAACAATGCGTATACATATTTATATGCTACAGCCGCGTATCGCGCCGATAAAATCGCCGTTATGATGAAAATGGCGGCCTGGCGGAATATTTGAATGCTATTTAAATCGACGAATCATATGAACGTCGGGACTAATTAAACTTCTATGCCGTTCTAATTTCAGAACTTTCTCCCGACAGACGCAGGATCTGTCCTAAGTTTATCGCGGCATTCCCCATGCGAGTCTCACTGTAATCGGAGTCAAAAGTCGAAAATGTTTTTATCGCCTGACAGCTTTATCGCCCGCACTTAAATTTTTCACCGTTATCGGCGCGATTAATGCATGATATATCGATGACGATACATACACAAATATATATGTATATACGTACATACGTATATATAGTTGCGTATTAACGATTGCATTGGAACGCGTAATACCCTCGAAATCCGGATGGAATCCAGCTCGTTATTATACGGAATTATAGGCTGTGACACGACGTGTCGCACCAT